CCAGCATCAGGCAGTGGACTTGGTACATTCTCAAACGTTTCGCCGGCATCGTAGTCGGCATCATCAGTGAATTCTGGAAAAATTAAATTTAATATATGTGTTGTTTTTACCCTACTTCGTTTAAAGTGATTAAGAAGTGGTTGTTGAATTTTCGGATAATGCTATGATTAGAGTTGTGGTTTTCCATTGAAATTCACATAGTCTTGCTTTCCCAATAGGTGGTCTCATCCCAAAGCGGGAGTCGATAAGACCTAACCGAGGTCGGAACTGCGTCCACTCCTGCAGTCCTGGATGAGAACACATTTTGCGAAATTCAATGGAAAACATTAGCTCTAATCATAGCGTTGTGGGAAATTTAATTATTATGTTGTTTAAGTTCATTACATTTCCGGTGAATGTTGTTAGTGAACCGATTTAAAGGTCGATCCGATTGTAAGACGACGGCTTTACTGGAGCATACTTGGCGACTCTGTTTCCGAGGAAACCTTCTTCGGTTCCGGTGAAAACTTGCTAATTGCAGGTATGAAAACCAAGATGGGTTGGTCTCTGGTATGGTTGCAGTCTCCTTTCGATTGATAGAAGTGGGTTGACCTCGTTGTCACAACTTGGTCTTGTTGCCAGGGTGACTATGTAGAACGCACCTAGTCCGAAGTCGTCTGCCATAGTAGTTATCATGCTTCCCACTATCAGGCAGTGGACTTGGTACATTCTTACAAGTCACTTGTCTCTTTTGACGAGTTGTAATATGGTGCTGAGAATGGAAAGACTTACTGACGAAGCCTGCGAAACGTCTGGGAAAGTACCAGGTCCGCGGTCCTACTCTGGAAATGATGATGCATACAATGGACTCCGGACTAGTTGCGTTCCTCTAAGTCTTCCTACCAGTGTGACCAAGTTGTGAAAACAAGTCAAACAACTTTTAGAGAATACTGTTGTTTGTTTGTTGGGAAATCCTTGCTCACTGCTGCCGTCATCTTAGTTCGACAAGTCGCCCGGCCATTTGGCTACCAGTACCTGTCAGTTCACCTTTGGATGGTAGATTATGTGAGATTTGTAAAATCCTGATTGTTGGGAGCGTTTTCTAGATTTCACATTGGCCTATTTCGACGAAAGAAAACGTACAAAATGTCTCCACAAGCACAGTTTCATCGGAAAGCGTGGTATGATTGTTAAGTGACAAGTAACTAGGACCAAAGTTGGGATGAAAATGTGTGATGGGGCGGTTTGTGTGAACGTACCACCAGAACGGAGAGTAGAATCAAAGACCAAACGGATGAGTGGAGTCCACGCAGAAAAAAAGCGGCCGAGCCGACAGATCGACTCGTGCGAGGCTCGTTTTCTCCGTCGCGTCCTGTCGAGTCTGCGTTTTGTCCGGACTGCGAACGGCTTCGGAGGCTGAAAGAGGAGCGATTGCCGGCCTCCGGTTGTCCCGTCCACGTGATCAGGGCCGAATGAATCGCGATCACCGACATGGTCAGTCGAGGCGTCAGTCCGGCCGACTGGAACAGCCTTTTGAGACGAGCAAAGGAAGTCGCCGAGTCGTGGAATAGGCAGAGGTTGACGCCGTCGTCGTCATTGGGAGGAGCAAGCAGCTGAAGATTCATGAAGGCGAGAAGGACGCGTTAAAAACATACATTTGAAGGTGGTCAAGGCAAGAAGGAGAAAGGGGCACGGTTGATGTGTCTTGAAGCGACTCGATCGCTCTTCCAGCCTACCGGGTCTTTGGTAGATGTCTGTCAAATGCCAGCTAGAAACATGATCAATTGTCGGTCCTTTACTCGTTTTCTGTTTCACAAATTGGCGATAGCCTCAAAAGATAGTTTCATCAAATTTGGACCACCTAAATTGTTTCAAGGACTACTAGTGAAGTTTTACCAACATTCAGTTTGATAGGCTTCACGATACCATTAAAGTCCACTTGGACAATCCAGACAGCATCCAGATGCTATAGAGAAAAACAGGGTTTCGAAAAATTACTTACTCATCCATTGTGAGGGTGACCTTCATTTCGAATGAAAGAACATCGTTTGTCGATCTCACCAGATGAGGACGGATGAAACTCGTTGTACTGCAGCCGTTCGGCTTTTATATTATATTCGACGCAGTCCACGAGTATTCCTTTCGTCCATCATTCGATGGACATCATCAGAGCTGGCTTTCATTCTTGTAAGAGTCTCACGTTAATACTAAACCAAGAACACTAT